ACGATCTGGATGAGAATCCACGATACGAACTTAAAACTTGTAGTGAAAGCAAGTTGTGCAGTCTTCTAAGTTAGGCCTCTTTCAAGCTCATAAATCTTTCAACTTAAACACAAATGTTTTAGAAAACATTCATTATTTAACGAATAAGCTCAGATTTTCGTATGCATTTAATCATATTTTGTTAAACCCCTAAAGTTCCTACTCTTAACTCAAAAGTCGGAGTTTTCATAAATACTCCTTTGCTGAACATCAATTCCATTTTCTGAGCCAATGGCTTCGTCAATGTATACTTATGATAATTTCAGAGCAAATACAAACAAATTTAACAAGAGTTCTTTTCATTGTGTTTTTCAATTTCCTTACGACAGTTAAATAAGTGAAAATGCAATGCAATAAAATTGTATCTCGCGTCTTTTTCATGGCTCTATTTTCAGTCATTGGTACATTCATTTACGGAAAATTCGGAGGAGGTACAGTAGATTAGTATTTGACATTTTTAACATGATTTCACCTGAAAGTTTCAAACTGGTAAATTTTCATTTGTTATTATCTTCAGGTGATCCTTTTGAGGGACCTGTAAATCAAGCAGGAATTGGTCTTTATAGAGGTGGTCTGTTGACTGAACGTGAACGCATGGGAAATGGTGCTATTTAATACTATAACATGATCAAATCCAGTGCAGATAGCATTCGAGGATAACAAAATGATTTAACTCGGATATTAAATCATGTAACGTTAACCACCAATGAACTGGACAATTTTTATGACGATTGAAGACATCTTTTTTCTAAAAAAAGAAAATTTTATGGATCATAAATTTTGAACCTTTTTCTCCTCAATTCAACCCTTGCCATTAAGTTACAATTAAATCGATAAAATTAAATTAAATAAAACAATTTCTTACTTTACTTCATCTTGCCGGGTTGAGTCCATAATAGTTGCGCTAATTGTAATATAAGAGACGTGAACAAGGTAAGCAAGAGATCATTATCAATGTATTTGATCGATTTAAACGTAACATTGCCCACGTTTGATTGCAACTCACTTGCTTTAGTGCTTTAGCACTGTTAGTTCGTTTTCAACCAAGTGACTCTCTAAATTGTCTGATTCTTTCGTGTCAACAATAAGTTGGTCATTTTACGATTAATCATTCAGCAATTAAACGAGTAATGTTAGATGCTGTTGTAATTTTTCTTTTTACCGCTGTTTCTTTTTTCAAATTTTTAATTCAATAGATGACAGTACATACGCCTCAACTTCAAGTAAATAAAGACTACTGAGGACAATACAAATAAGATTCAAAATCAGTTTAATTTCAAACACACTGAACATACACAGTAATATAATACACCATACATTTTGAGGTGAAATTTTAGGTATTTATACTTGGACAGGTGAGACTGCCCTTTTGGGTCCTCGTTGAGTAAGGGTTTGTTGAAGGTTAGTACGGACGAGTCGAAGAAAAACAAAGAAAGTAAGTTGCTTTAGGGTTTCTTATCCATGATATTTCATGTAAAAGAATAAAATTTTCTGAACAATGTGCAACTTCTCTCTATGACAACTTATTTGATGATGAATTTTGACAATATAAACATTGAATCCATCTTGATAAGGTTTGGTTTGGGTGATAAATGCTCAAAGAGAAAGAAAAGTTAACGGTTAAGTTTTTGTTTTCAAACATTTTCTTTCGACTTTTGTCTTTTCTTTCAAAAAATTTTCAACTTCAAGCTCAAAATAAAGGCAAGTTGTGACGAGTTTAACAGATCCCTTGTGACATTGATTGAGTCGACACCACAAAATATGAATAAGTTTTCATTCTTCAACCCTTCAAAATTTACAGCTCGTGTGAAAAAACAAAGAAACATTGAATGGAAAAGAAAAAGTGGAAAGAATCATTTCTTTCCACTTGAACGAAAGAAATGTAATCATCATTTGTTGCTTTAATAAAACAAATTGGGTCTCATTAGATGCTAATTTATCAATTTACATTGAGAAACGAACTTGAAAAGAAAAAAACGATAGAAAGAAATGATATTGAATCGAACAATTGAAATCATAATCATAATTGCAACTCGACGAGGAAGAAACTGTTCACTCTTTCAGTTATCAACTTTTGTTATTGTCTGACAATATCATTCGAAGAAAAAAGCAAACAGTTATATACAGTAAAGTTCATTTGTATATTTTGAATTGACTCTGCATTCAAGAACTTTATGCATTTTATTTTATTAAATAAGACACAATTTTTACATTCTCAAGTCATTTTTATTGCTATCTTAGGTAGACAAAAGGTTGTTTTCCAGTTTAAATGATTGAAGTGATTGCACATAAATTTTGAGGTTGCTTTGTGAATAATTTTTTATTTATTTTCCTATTCTGATTTCAAATATTAAGCAGATATGTTCAGCAGCATTAGAATAACGCTCGTCAGATGGCACAAGCAACAGAAGTTAACAGAGTATTTATAGTGTTAAATCACCAATAGATGGCAATACCTAGATGTTACAGCTCTTACAGTTTAGGTCTTACAGTTTCTGGAATCCTGACATCTATGTGAAGTTCAGGGGAAAACAATTTTAATCTGCACTGCAAACAATTAGCCAGGTCCTTTAACAGTTCAACCCATTTTGACATCCTGATCTTGATTTACATAGATGTCACCAACCCAAGAAAAACAAAAAAATCAAAAACATTTAAACCATTAATTGCATACCAAGCGAGCTTTATAAAACTTTTCATGAAAAGTATTTTTAATTTTTCCGTCTATTCGACATTTATATTGAGTGGCTAGAAATCTGAAAAATGAATGAAAAAGTTGAGAATTGATTAGCAATTAAATGCATTTTAATGAAATTATAAGATTTTTTGTTTAAATGATAAGTTAAAAAGAATTTTATTATCAACATTAATTGTATCAATTAACAGATTTCTCTTAATGGACATCTTCTTGGGAATCAGTTTTCATACAATCATCATGATTATCTTCTTCAAACAGATTGGGCAAATGAATTTGACGGATAAGTGAAGTGACACCAGTTTCCTCTGAATATTTACACTTGCAAATGATATTCTTAAAAGCTCGACGAAAGTCACGACTAAAAAGTCCATAAATTATGGGATTGACAGCTGAATTTGTGTAACCCAACCAAGTAAATATGGTGAGCAACAATTTGGGGACACAATTTTGATCACGACAATAGCCACGAATCAAGTAGATGGTGAAAAAGGGAAACCAACAAATGATGAATCCACCAACAATTATTCCAACCGTTTTGGCAGCTTTCGTTTCAGCGAGTAACCTTCGAGTTTGCCATTTACCCGTGTTGGCCCTTCGACTGAAGCGAACCGATTTGGAAGCATTGGATCGACCAGAGTCTCGTGTATGACTAGGTGAACTTTCAACACCAGTTAATGAAGTTAAACCACTGCAAGAAGAAGCCAGTGAACAGGTTGATCGACGCTTTTGACCATCAGCTTCACAACATGACCCAGACCCTTCAAGTGCTATTGAATTGACCTGCAACCGAGGTGATCTATAGACTGTTATGGGTGTTTTACGACGACCTTTACCTCCACCACTGCCACTTCCACTACCTGCATTGGCATTACCTGGAGTGAATTTAGGAACAACCAGATTATTACCAAAATGAGATTCACAAGAGTTGATGTTGGTTGAACCAGAATTGGCAGCGTTGCCGCTAATATTACTATGACTATTGTTTGTATCGTTTAAAGCGTTAAAATTGTTATTGTTATTGACGCTACTAATGTTGCTCATTTCACTTGGTGAATTGTTATTATCATCAACTCGATTATTATAACCTTGAAGCTTACTTGGACTGAAAAAGATTTGGCCAGTTTAGGACTAGTTTTCATGAATGATGTACAATTTACTTGATGTTTGTTTGTGTACTCGTGGTTAGATGAATGGTAGTGATGATGGTGTTGAGCATGAGAATGAGGGTGTGAATGTTGAACATTATGATGGTGTGCATGGGAATGACCATGGATTGGGTGAAGTTGATGACAGTTATGAACATCAGTGGACAGTGAGGACATCAAGGATGGTGTCTCTGAACTTGCATTGGACCCTGTATCTTCACAAATGTAGCCTCGGTGCATGCGAAGAGTTAACCGTTTGTCAGATGATCCATCAGTCTCGGAGTCGCCCGTCTTGGTTGTTTTATAACCTCTTTTCAAGGCACGTGTTGTTCGAGAGGCGACAATGTAGATGCGCCAATAAAATAACATCATAAAAGACATTGAATATAAAATGATCCCAATGCCTAATAAGTGACATAACCAGTGTTGTCAAACAGTACACATTGATTAGGTTTCCACAAGCACTTTGATTGCAGCCATTGATGAAAATTGAATTTAAAATACTTTAAAAATTGCTGATTTAATGCCAAACTCTCAGGCTTCAAAAGTGAATAATCGGCACTTCTTTTTTCGCACTTTTAGCAAATCTGGTATCTCATTAGCCACAGCTAGTTTCGGCTTAAGCCGAGTGGCTAATCAAAAAAACTCAATATTTAAGAGTTAAATTTAACAATTAACTTTGTTATTCACTTAATTTAAAGATAATAGCAATTCCACAAGCTTAACAAACGTAAGTCTCGTCTTAATTTCAGTTTTCCTGAATTCAATGATGAAAATGATGCAATTTCATTTTGACAATGCATTACTGATTCGAAAATGATCTCTGAGTTGTAAAAAAATGATTCATAATTACTAGATGATATAAATATAACTGACTGGGCTGTATAACAGAGTTAATTGTTGCATTTAACTCTTAAATATTAAGTTTTGTTGATTAGCCACTCGGCTTAAGCCGAAACTAGCTGTGGCTAATGAGAAGAGAAGTGAGCCGACGAGGAATTCTTAAGACTTACCGCAAATCTGCTGTTCCAATATCATCAGAATGTAATTTTTTTCAAATCAGATCCTCCCAGAAATGAAGAAGCGTTTACTTATAAAAATATAATAGTAGTCAAATATTTTTTTAAATTTTCATCTTTTAATGCAAAAAGTTATTGATAAGTGATGTTTTCTGTTTCTGAATAAAGATTCTGATTTGTCCCCACTTTTTCTTATAAATCATTTTTTATGCTCTTTTTTGGTTGGACTCGTTCAGGCTTGCTTGGTCAACCACGATAACGTAAATAGTTACTATGTATCCGCAACCCTAAACGTGGATAAAATAAAATCTTTGCACTACACTTTAGCTCTGTAAAATGTTTAATGTTCAAATTAAGTTGCATTCTATTTATAATCGTATCTCTGTCCTCCACTGTTTGTCCTTCAACGTCCAAAACTTTTTGTAAGTAATCTGAATTTATCAGCTCTAAAATTTTCTTTGTAATAGGTCGACTACCCAAATAATGACAATAACGATGGTTACATCCAGTTTCACTAACGTGATCTCTATGTACCAGTTCATACATACAGTAAATCCCAGGATAAAAACCGTCTGACACCATTTCTGTTTCAAGTAGAAAACAATCGCCATCATGCAAAGCTCTCATTGCGCGCTCTTTGGTATCATATCTCCAACCATAATAGTCATTCCCATATCTAAAGAATAAATGAAACAAATATAATTTCAAGAAAGCAAGAGATCTTGAAGTTGAATAAAATTATTTTACCCGTTTCTGCATTCGGCGTTTTTTATACCGGCACATCGGTGATCATCTACATTGTACACACTGACATACTCTTGATGTATAACTAGTATTCCTGTGTATGCTGATAACTATAGATACAAGTAAAGTGTAACTAAAAATTATCCATTTTCTTGTCTTTTTTGACTTACCTGGTGAAACAATTGTTTCCTGAAATCAAAACTTTCATTTGACCAATCAATTGCAATGTCATGATAATCCTCATCCGATAGCCTTACTTTTATTGTAACTAAGCATCACAAAGAACATAATACATGTATTTTAAAACTGAGTCGATTAAAAACAAAACTTACTTTTATCAGAACACCTGTTATCTTCGGCATCCATTTTACGACAAAAAATAATATTGTTGGTATAAATTTACAAAAGTTTATTATGAGATAAATGATAAAATTTCCATTTAAGGGCAAAAAGTTGTAAATGAAAGTAGATCAGCTTCTGGGTGTGTTAAGGTTAAACTAAGATCTCTTAGTCTATGAATGTTTCTCAAAACCAGTCCCCAAGAAGCTTCGCCGAGATTTCAAGTTTAGTCCTATGTATCTAAACTAGGTGACTCTCAATATTTTTACTTTGCATTATTAGTGTGTCAAGTATATTTTGAGTTTCGATATGACAAAATGTTTTACAGGTACATTTACATGTATTTTAAAACTGAGTGGAAAAAAAACAAAACTTACTTTTATCAGAATTCCTACTAATTTCTTCATTCATTTCACTACAAAAAATTGATATTTCATGTACAAATTATATAAAAGTTTATTATAAGATGAATGATAAAATTTTCATTTAAGGATTGTAGTCAAAAGTAGATCACCTGAGTGTGTAAAGGTTAAACTAAGATCTCTTTGTCTATGAATGTTTCTCAAAAACAGTTTTCAAGAATCTTATGATTTCGAGTTATGGCGCTAATAGGATTGTCATATGAATGTAACCTAGGTGACTCTCATTACTTTCATTTTGAAATATTAGGCCTTCAAGTATATTTTGCGATTCTCTATGAAAAAAGTTTTATTTGTGACTTTTTTGGTTAAAATAATATTGATTTTTGTGGCCAATGATGTAAATTGTGAATGATGATGAGTATTTCTTTATCCACCAACCAACGCCTGATCATAAGATTCGGCATATGCAATAATTTTCTCTTTCCAACGACGATTTGAAACAGTATGTACAAGGTTACCGATATTCCACTCTTCATCGCTACACTCTTTAAGTAATTCAATCCATTTATCAGGAATTTCCACAACTAAACGATCAAAACCTCCTTCACCCTCTGAAATGGGTCGACAGAGAGCAGGCATTCCGGAAACATCTTCAGCTATGGTAACTGCATTGGGATGGAAATGATGAATTTCATGGTTGGCCAGTTGTAAATTATTGAAACTCTCGGTATCCGTATTAAGGCCAAAGTATTCATTGTAATCACCAGAGAAACCATGTCTAATACCATGTGAATGATAAAGCATTGATGTTACACCATCAAAACGGAAACCAACGAACTGGAACTCTTCCAGCCAGTAATGACAATTTGAGAGTAAAAAACGAAGTGTCTCTCAATTGGAGTAGTTAAATAAACGCGAATCCCAAAGAGTATGTTCACCTCTTGGGACGTCATGAAAATAATGACTATTGGTTCCATCAAAACGATTCAAACCATCGTCTACATTTTTACAAGCATGGCTGTGAATTATGTCCAAAAGAACGTAAATGCCTTCATCGATAAGACGTTTAAGCTAATCGGGAGTGCCATAGCGGGAAGAGGGTGCAAAAAATGAAGTAACTTGATAACCAAATGAAGCATAATATGCATGTTCCATAATAGCCATCAATTGAATCGCATTGTAACCGTGTTTCTTGGTCCGGGGAAGAACTTTCTCTCTGAAATAATCGTAACTTGCAACTTGATAATCTGGGCTGCTGATACCAACGTGACTTTGATAAATTTTGATATTAGTTGGTGCTGAGGGTTTCTTGCTCTTGTCCGTATATCTCTCACTTGGATTATAAAATACTTGATCATAGATTATAGATGTTTCGGGTTGGACCACATAAGTCGCCCATGGAGAAATACGATCTTCAATCATCCCTCGCAATACACCAATTTTCAACTTATCACCATTTTTAATTGCTGGAGTTCCATCGGGGTTGGGTGGTTAACACTTGGCTTATCCACACTATCATCTGGTAATTTTTTGCTGGTTGTCTCGGCTGGTTCCTTTTTAACATCTTTCTTGTCATCTTTATCCACTTTATCAACTTTCGGCTCGGTTTTGTCGACTAATCCAACTATGGAATCATTAACAGAACTAATGATACCACTTTCCAAACAGCTCAAGTACATTTTAAGCATTACATTTTGTAACAATCAAGAGCACTGTAAACAACTAATGTTGACGATTATTTGTAAAGGCTTAAGAAACGGAACTGTTGAACTTGAAAAACAAAGCCATTAACATATTGCTTTGTTTATTATCACGCAATTGACAATAATTAGATGGAACACGGCTTGTAAAAGTTAAATTAATTAGTTGGAAAACAAAAAAAGGTTTTATAATAATTGTATTATTGAAAAAGAGAAGCACCTTTGAAGTAAAATTACTTTGAATATTTTAATATCAGATGATATGATGGTGACAATATAGACTGATGCTGATTCATTTTTAACTCAAAAGGTGGCGATCAATTTGTTTCCAAAGACTTTGGACCAAAGTATCTAATTTTTTTACATTAAATAAGTTGCAAGTTAAGTTAAAAATGATCAAATCATACATATCAGATGGTATTAACCCCGATGCCGTAAATAAAGACTCCTCTGTGGAAATATCCCCATCATCAAACGACAACATGGAGTATAATATTGTCTAATATTGAAGTTAACTAAAGTTTTCGCCCATTCATCGCCATCATACGAATATCTTTGTTCAGGAAATCCAGCTCTGATTTTCGCCATTAATTCAGAATTTAGTATGATTTTTTTTCTTTTATTCAGCCAAAGTCTGGTAACTGTGTAATGACAAATGAATCTGTCACACTGTATAGCACTAATACCTTCCATTTCTGGGTTATAAAGACAAATTTGGAAATCGAAAAAACATTCGTGATTTATTAAACCAAGTAATGCAAGAAGAAAGAAACAGTCGCCATCATTTAGACTTTGATTAAAAGTTTCATTCACTGGTATCGGTGTGAGAAGTTCTGAGATAGGTGAATTTCGTAAGTGATTTTCTTGATTGTAAAGGCTATTGTTTTGAGTTGGGGTGTATATTTTAACACTACGTATGTACCCAACTGGTAAACCAATAAAGGATGCAATCTGTAAATTATCAAGAAGTAATGGCCAATTAAATAATTAAAAACACAAGAAGTATTGTGCTTACCTTTTGAAGGAATAGTTGCTGTTTATTTTCACAGCTTTCATCTGACCAATCAATTGTAATATTTTGGTAATCCTCATCAATTAGTTTCACTTTAATAGTAATTTTACTCGATTTATCATTGTTTTCACTCATTTTAAATAAAATTTTGATGGATCGTTATAACAAAAAAGAATGATTTTCCAACTTTCTATAAACCAATTCACAACAAAATGTGGTCAAAGCTAACTCTTTTGTTTGAGCCACAAAGCCAGTTATCCAGAATTCAAACTTGAAATGTTAACTCAAAAACCAGTTGTGACCTGCCCTGTCCAAATTTAAGTGAAGCCACGCAAGCCTAGAACTAGGTGAAAGTAGGGATATAATCGTGCTTAGTAATATAAATCCAAGCAATGTCAATACATTTTTAGATATCGATGAGGATAAATATCGTCGGAAATCACCTTTAGAACTAATTTCAAAATGGTTTAGGTAAATCTCATGACGAAAAATGTTTTGCATTCAAAATTTCAACCGAAATCACTTATTTTTTCATTTCATTTCTATTTCAGATCACATAACATTACCAAACACAATGATGGATTATCACTCAAAGGATAGATTGTTAAACCGAAAAGTTATCGGTTTTCTGGCGATTTTTACTGTTTTCACCTTAGCCCATTACTTCTTGAAACTTGGAAGGGAAAATGCTGACCATGACCCATTACTTGATCCATATTTAAATCTCAATATTAGAGTTGCTCGAGATGAAGAGTGATTCCTTTTTCCAATTGCTCAATCATTTTGTGAATATCAGGATAAATTTTTATTTTTTTTCCTGGATTTTTTAATTATTAGGTAATTAAATACCCAAAACAATGAAAAAAATTGTCTATTACTTTAGATGTTGAGAGCTGTCCTAGGCTATCACAATTTATGTGGTTGATTACATAATGACAGATTTTATGCTTTCTTTTATCTTCGAAAAATCTGAAAATTTTATTGATATGTGATAAAGATTAATTTATTTTACTTTAATTTTAGCATGATTTAAATTTACACCGTTTCATACATTTCAAAAAATATCTTCTGGTCAACATATAATATCTAACAAAATAGATAAACTTAACTATATTCGGTTTTAAATTAAAAACCTCAATCTATTTGTAGAGATTGAATAATAGGCTAGTGTTGATTCCATGAAAATAAATGTAATTATTTTGAAAAATAAAATTCTGTTTTCTGTGATCACAGATCACTTCGATTTTCGGTTAAACCTCCGGCATTCTGTGACCATGATAGCTAGAGATCTGAAACTTATTATTTGTCGAAAAAATTTTTTGATCATAATGAAATCGATTTTAAAGTTGAAACTTCGATCGCCTTTTGTGCAGTTGTATGACCAGACTTTCTTATGAAATTCATTCTGCTGATGTAAATTTATATTATCAACCAAAAAATGCACTTATTCTGTGGAATAAAACATTTTGTTCGCTTTAAAACAGGTCAGTTCGATTTGTAGTTAAAACGACTTTATTCTGTGACTATAAGAGTTAGAGATCTGAAACATAATATTGATCCATGAAAATTGCTTGTACACATCATGCGTTAGATACCTTTGCCGATTCGGAAACAGTTATCTTGATTTTGGCCATTGGCCTGCTAACTTTGAGCATCGATATTACGAGCAAGATAGCACGTACGATCTTCATTTTTAGTTCTAATACTAGGTCTTGTCATAGGCTATAATATGATATGATGTCGTAAAAATTCATTTAATAATGAATAATCTTCTAACATATAAAACTGTGTTAAAGTAACCATTCAACTTTAATAATCAAGTTTCCAATCTGACAACATAGTTAATAAATGGCTATAACTTTTTAAGTGCGATCTTGAATAATTTATTACTTTGCGATAATATAGTTCATAACCAAATCTAATGATTGGTCAAAGAATAATGACTGTAACTTAGGCCATTCTCGAATTATCGAGACTTGAAGTTGTTTAGCCCAATGGCCAAAATAGAGTGAATTATCGTTAAATTGAGGAAAATATTTATGTTATGGTGTGTGCAAACAGTTTCTATTTAAGGATTATGAGTTTTAGATCTTTAACTTTCACAGTCACAGAAAAAAGTCGATTTGCATGAAAATCGAACTTATGCGCTTTACAGGAAACGGAAAAGTTTACTTCTCAAATTGATCATAATCTGCATACTTATTAGTGAAATAGGGTGCATGAAAAAATCTGCTTGCATAGCGGAAAAAAAGCCGATTGAAAGCCGATTGAAGTTTCAACTTTGACCACGATTTTGTCCATAACTAGCCATCGAACAAATCATTTGATAGCACCATGGGACTTAGGTTTATGTCCTCACAAACCTGCCAAGTCTCAAATCTTTACGCAAATGTTGGAGATTTCGGCAGCACTCATTGTATTTCATTTAGCCAGAAAGATGGTTTGTGCAACAAGAAATGGGTTGAGATGAGTTTTATTTGTTACTTATGTTGTTTGCTTTTACATTTACAACCCAAAATCATGACCCTAATGCGCTAATAGAAAGTTTTTTAATCAAATTGCGTTATTAATCAGTGAAGGATTAAATTGTTGAAAGAATGAGGATAGTATGTGATGCCATTCTCGAATTATTGAGGGTCAAAGTTTTAAGACCAAAGGCCAAAATCAAGAGAACAATTGTTTAATCGAGCAAAGCATTTGAATCATAATGTTTCCAAACAGTTTTTGTGGTTCAATAATAAGTTCCAGTTCTCTAAATCTTATGGTTATAGAATGCGGTCGCTTTCCCTACAAATCGAACTAATCTGTTTTACTGAAGATAGTTTACACAAAATTAATGCATTTTTTGATTGACTATCAAAAGTTACATCAGCATAATGAATTTCATGAAAATATCTGCTTCCAATATTGTACAAAAGACGATCGAAGTCTAAACTTTAAAATCGATTTCCTCGAAAACTGTGGACCAGAGAAACTTTAAACCACATGAAAGGACTCAGCTTTCATTTCCTAACAATCAGAAATAGTCTAAATTTGAAATCAATATGATGTTACCCGCTTTTGCCCATTTTTCTTTCAGTGTTTTGTCTATTTGTGCATAAATGTGATTGTTGTCTTTTTAGCAACAATCCAACTCAACATTGCTCATTATAGCTTCTTAGTTGGACTTATGCGATTGAAATTGTTTGTACTTTACTGTTTTCATCCAATTAACTGTTAAGATCGTGTACAATTGAGCTTTAAAGAGTTTCTTAAAGCTGGTACTAAATACTTCGGTACAGAATCAGAGGTTTTCATTATAAATTAAATGGTAAATATCTTTGTAAACTGTTAATGGAATTCAGTTGAAGCGTTGTGTAACCTGACAACTGTCTTAATTGTCTAGGATTCGATTTCCTCGAAAATCATGGCCTAAAGAAATTCAATCCCACAATTGGGTGCAGTTTGCAAACCATTAGAGTCTAAATTTGAAAGGAGTAAATTTTTACCCAGTTTTACCCATTTGTGTATAAATGTGATTGTTGTGTCTTTTTAGTAACAACCTTACAATTGTAATGTTCAAAGTTAACATAATTCGTCATATATATAAAAAAATAAAAAAATGAATATAAAAATCAAGAGCCATAAAGTAGAAAAAAATTGCAATATAAATTAACTAATTGTTGCTGAAGAAAGCCAAGAAACCTGTTTAAAGTACATTAGGCATTAATTAATGTATTAGTTTACAACATTAGTTAAACAAAACTCAAAGCCTATGAAGTGCTATTGTAAACATTCAATGAACATCAATAAATCAATTTATAAATTTAAGTGTTTTTTAATTGTATTCTTACACAAATGGCAATTAGCTTGCAGCTATCTGCATCTTCATTATAGAAGTAAATTAACAAAATTATTTGTAAAAGCTTGAATTGTATAAACTATTAGTTTTGTAAGACTTTGATTTATTAATAATAGTAATAGATTGAATTTTTTGTTTCAATCAAATACTGTGTGAGTCAAAAGTCAGTTTAAACTTTAAATCGATACATTTCGAACAGCTCTAGATGGGAACATAATTTTTTCAGCGTAATGCATAATTTCGAGGCGAATTACATTTTCTCGAATAAAAAAAATTCCAGCCAATCATCGTAATTCTGGTCCTGTGAAGCTCACTTTCAAGGGTGAATAGTCGATCTCCAGGTCAAACTGACTTTTGCCTCACACAGTAAGTTAAATAAACAAAATTGAGCTGAACTGTTGGTTAATCGTTTTTTTCATGCTTTATTTAGCTAAAAGTAGTAAACAATTAAAGAAAAATCAATTGAGTGAGATTGCTAAATTAGGTTTACAAATACGTAACAAATTGTATTATTTCGCCAGTTGTTATGTTTAAGAATAATAATTAGAGGATAACGTATTTTCAATAAAAGATGTATGCATGAAGATAAAATTATTTGATAAATTGATTGATGGGACAAAGATCCATGGATTTATCGCTGGGTAACTAAAAATTTCTTTCCCTTCCAGCAAAATACCATAATTGCAGATTGATTAATGTTTTACCAATAGACAAATGATGAAAATTGGCGGTAAATATTCCTTTGCCAATGCATCGAACCTGTTGATCGACAATTAAGTCTATTTAGTGGACCTCTTGAGGATAAGAAGTAAACATAACCATTTTCGAAGATTTGGATCTTTCCGCAACCATGCCTGATGGTGATCTTGGTGTAATTGGAAAGTGAATTGGAGGTTTTGGATTATCTAATAGGTAACTTAAAATTAATTCATATTCACTCTTGTTTAGAGCCAAATCACTTCTATTAACTGTTACCAGTTCAGGTATTTTCATCAGTGGAAATCTGATTCGATCAAAAACTGGTCCTAAAAGGGATCTAAATGCATGCATACACAACATGTATTTGTTAATTCATAAATATTATTGGCGCATTGTAATAAGGCCGTGAAAAGTTTCCATTCGTTGATTCTCAACAAATCTCGAGCCACGATCCACATTTGTAAAGAGGAGGCCTCAAAATAGCTGAAATGCCGTATTTGTCGATGACTGATAAACATTTTTCCCGGATAATTTTAAGCTGGGTACACGAGTTTATATCAGCATCAGTTTCGGTCAGACCGAAAAGTCCCAAACGTGATGACAACAGAAGAGTCAATGATACAATGATCCGATTTGATGTCCAGTCTTCCTTGGCATGAATAATTTAAAATAGAGGTTACCGATTGTATTTGATAGAGATGCCATAAACAATATTAAATTAACTGCTTAATTGACCCAAGACAAATCACTATAGACCCGCATTCTAAAGGATATAACTTCAAATTGGCTACTATAAAAACTTGTAGAGTTGAAATGAAGGAAAACAATGAAAATGATATTAAACCTTGATGGAATCTTTAATGATAATTAGTTTGCCTAAGATGGTATCGGATTAGAGTTGATTGGAGTCATTGTTTCATATTGCGCACAAATTGCGGAAGCTATGGTATTTTGGACATGAATAAGATTTGCTTGCCATTGGGTTAGAGTGTCTCTTAATTGTTGCCACTGTTGTAAGCCAAATGTTTGATGTATTGTAGAGGTGACCGGGCATTTTTTGTTTACTTGATGCGTTTTTGCGTTCACCAAATTGGTTCGCAAAACTGTAAAAATATGGAAATAGGTTAGCCTAAAAAATATTATACATATTTTTATCATTCAAAAAGCAACTTACTGTCAATGACAAATGTCTCTGCATCTTCATCTCCCAATTGTAATTCCTCTTTGACGGTCTGGAAAGAGAGTTCTTTATTGCTTTCAGCCACCTGCATGAAATTCAACAGTACCATTTTATGGAGATTCTGTTCATATGACAATCCTGAATTTTCAATCAAAGTCTTGTGTGCGGCATAGAATTGTATGTATCCATTGAGTTTATCAGATACAAAAATAGTGAGAAGATCGTGAATTGCTTCGCCCTCAAGGAATTTGACTGGCTTGAGGGTCAAAAGATGATCCATTAGAAAAGTGTTTGAGTTCAATATGAATGAAACGATGCAACGGTGAGCATCGGTGCGTGCTTGAGATGCAGTGGCCTCAGTGTAAGTTCCTAACAATTCGATCATCACTTTGGAAGCTTCATGACTGGATAATTAAAGAAAAAATAAATGCGAATGCGAATTAGTGCGAATGCAGTACACCAGTTTCACACATAAGGCAATTTTTGATAAGCGCCGTCTACTATATAGTGCTAGTATGCTTTAGCATCTTACGTATAGTAGATGGCGTTTATCAAAAAAAAGATATCCGTGAAACTAGTGTAATAAAAATAAAAAACAAAACACACCTGTCATCATTGAGTAGGACTTCATGCAAAAGTCTCAACAATTTTTGAAGTTTGTCTAATCCGACATTATCCTTGTTATATGTTGATCAAACCTTAAGCAGATCATGATAAACCAAGTCAATTTGACCAATACTGCCAGAAATTTTAACTAGACTAATATCATATAAATATCATAGTTTAATTTAGGGTTTTCGCCTGTGCCTTCAAAAAGATTTTGTAATCTGTTCAAATAAAAATAAATGTAAATTAGATGTTTGATGAAATGATTATCAACATAATGCATCAATCTAAATAGCCTAAGTTTAATCACACTCATATTTTAATGCAAATCAAGGCAATATTAGAAGTTGAGACTTCCACCAATTTTGCATAGAAAGCATTCACCAATTCACTGCATATTGGATTGGTTTGCGGTACTTGGATAAGCAAGGAAACAATACTATTTAAAACAGACTGTTTATCCGCATCTTTATCCTCTTTGAAACATAGATCACAAACTTCAATAATTTTAGTCAAATCCTTGAGAAAACCATCCTCATCTTTCTCAGTATGATTAGCACCAAGTGAATTGAAATAATCACGAAGCTCTTCGGGTGTGAAAGGGTGGAAATGATAGGTAAACAGAAGTCATTAATAAAAATCCTAAAATAATAAAAACAGAAATTAATTTACCTCGTCAGATTCTCGAACATCAGTAAAGGTTGGAATCATAATTTAATTATTGCCTTGATTAGATTAAGAAAATACAAATTAAACCCAAATTGTAACAGGCAGATGAAAACCTCAAAAACGTGGCTGTAAAACCTGATTCCAGAGCCATCTAGCCAGAGTACTAACATATTGAATTGAGTTTTTGTGATCAAAGAACAAGAAGCGCCAAATTTCTACTAGAACTAATTTGTATAAAAAGTATCGTTTCTGCTTGGATCAATGTGAAAGATTAATGAAAAAGCTAGAAAAGATTTTATTGTTAATGAATGAAAAACATTACTCCCTTACATAGATTTTTAGTCTCATTGATGCAAAATGTTAAATCAAAGTTTATTAAAACAATAAAAATCTGTTATGATCTGAGTTAACCCCGATTCGGCCAGTAGATACGAGGGCTTGGTACAGGAAACATTCCATCAGAAAAGAACCTGCAATAGGAATGAAAATATTGTCCAATATTCAAATCCGCATGGATTTCCCTCTGTCTAATAACCCTAGCAGCATGGAATTCTTCGTCAAGGGTATCTTCAACAATAGGAACTGGACGAGGCTGATTTCTTAGATAAGATTCAATATCTGAATTACTTATTTTAGCTTGTTTATCCAAAAAAGCTTTTTTACTTATATGATGACAAAACAACTGGTTGCAATCAGTTTCATCAATCAAATCTCGATGCACTAAATTATATTGAACGTTGAATTTATCCAGAGTGAATGTCATAAACATTCTTGTATTGAGAGCAAAGCAATCGCCATCTCTAAAGAATTTATCTCTGTAATCTTCCTTTGTATACAGATAGTAACCTTGAGGTATGGCTGCAGGTCTGGAGAACCTGATAAATAAGAATAAAAAGAAATATAACTATGAACAGAATCAAATTATCAAAAATATTAATTGACATTACGATTTTTCAAAATGGCAAATTGCTAAGTCACCAGTAGGACGAAGAAAAGGATTTGGAGGATTAACATCGTTTCCAACAGGTGGCTTCGAAAATGAAATAGACTGTGTTTTTTCTATTGATATTCCAGTGAATTCTGCCAGCTGTGAAACATGGAAAATATAATAATTGAATATTAAAGAGAGAAGTGATATTTTTTATTTACATTTACCTGTCTGAATATTTCTTTCTTTATATTCTTCGACCAGTCGATAATAATAATTCGGTAAGCATCCGATACTTGCACTTTTATTGTAGCTAAAAGAAAACAGAATAAAAGTTTTTCAATAATAAGATTTTCAAAAATTCCAACTTACTTTTATCGCAATCATTTTTATTATACATTTTCAAAGTATAAAGGTATAAAGAACCAAAGAATAAAGCACAAGGTATATCTGAATAGAAATAAACAACAAAGACAAGTGGACAAAGGTTGACCTTACTTTGGGTTACTGAAGGGTTAAACTAAACAAATCAGAAATGTTACCTTGTAAACTGGACTTTGTAAGGTGTGACCTAAACAAGTATGAAAACTGGTTTCGGTAAGTATGATTTACCTTGTAAATTACTATTCAAGTGTCTAACAAAACTCGACCCTAAAATCAACTCATGATGTTTGGATTGCTGACCGATCAACCACATTACTCTTTGATGGTCAAACCTTTTATCGCCATGGCCCCAGTCTGCTTTGTTGACAATATAATGTTATCATTAAGGATAGCTTCATTTGTTCCTTTTGTCCTTTGAGGTTTACGTAAATCGGTTGGTGAATTGAATGCAAACACTCTTATCTTAAAGATGACCGAGCAAGTTGCTTGTGGTCGATGGGAACCCAAAGTCTGTGAAAAACTTATTTACCCTTTAATGGGTTATAATTTTGAAGAGTCGAATTCCAGTCGAGTTGATGTTTACCGATCTCATGGATATGCTGGTTCATCCGTTTGGAATCTGGTTCATTTTGGTCAACATATTGTGTCTGGTGATTTCAAAAGATTTGACTATGGAACCAGTGAAAATATTAAAAGATATAATAACCTCTACGGACTCTCTAACCTCTATCTACGGCGAAGATATTTACACCTATGTTCATCATTTGGTTAAGCCTCTTACACTAGCTATCATCATCAATCGTAATCATAACAAATCATTCAATTCAAAAAGGTAAATTATATTGAATTGATAAAACCTTTTGAAGTGAACCAATAAAAACCAGAATTTGATTCCACCTGAATCACTCAAAAATGGTTAAACCCTTGAAACCAGGAGGAATTAATTTTCACCTTTAATCACTTTGACCGATGAAAGATATTGTCATCAAAGTGATCAATATATTACCATAACAATGAGAAGAAAAAGAAACAATTGAAACAATTAACCGAATAACCTTTACTAGATCTACTGCAAACAGTGTAGTCTGAGCTTTTGATATGCAATTTCAAATATTTTGAACTTTATTTGTGTTAATTATGGGAGTGGATTTTTTTAATGAAAATTATTTAAATAATTTTTCTTTTGATGGTCGACCAGAAAATGCACTTATTTTGACAATCTAAGTTACCTTTTGTACAGTAATAGAAATGTTTATCTCTCAAAATAAGTGCATTTTCTGGTTAACCATCAAAAGTTACATCAGTAAAAATGTGGTAACTCTTTTTGGAGGGGAAAAAAGTTTAAACCTTACTGTATCGTTTCCTTTTCCTTGTCGTGATTGATATCAGTATCTGTTATGGTGAATTTCAAACTGTGAAATCTTTGATTGAATTGATGGAATAGGCTGAAGCACATTTTTTCAAGTTGAGTATCATTGTATGAACCATTAATTAAGTCACGAACCATAGTAGACACCTCTTGTTTGTCTTCATTTGCTGGTTTGTTAGTCTGAATAAGTCCCATGAAAGTTGAAAGTTTATCTTGAAGAAATCGGATTGCTTGCTCATTTGACTCAACTTTCCTCAACAATTTAACTATTTTCGATACCGGATCTCTTGAAAAGAGTAAGTAACTTCTTTGTCATCTGTCATTTTCACGTTTATCTTCTTTATCTTCATCAGCTTCTCGATGGAGTTTGTTTATTTACAGAATGGTCGTCATACTGTACCAATAAATCCTCATGCTCTTAATGCTGAACAATTCAGAGACAGATTGGCTACAATCTTTAATCCCGATGTCTCGATGCCCAGTTTATACGCTCTCAAGCCAAATCGACATTATCAAAGGGCTAGATGGCCAGGATTGAAAGCTCACTTGCGAGGAAATCTGGGAAGACACTTCCAATTGCGCATTGAACGAGGAGCCGTCGAAAACGACCGAAGCAATTTTTTAGTCTTTGACCTCATACCTTAGATTTCTAATAATGGAAATATACCGGATCTCCTCAAAAGAGTACTCGTAGTTTAATATTCAATTAAAATTCAAAGGAGTATGGGTAAAAATTCTGACTTTCGAGTTAAGAGTTCGAACTTTATAAGTTTGTAGGCCCATAAAAACTGAATCCATTAGTGACATTAAAAATTTTCTCCGATCGACAGTTTTCGAGAAAATCGAGGTCAAAGTGCAAACTTCGATCGCCTTTTTTTCAATTATGGGACAAGATTTTTTCATGAAACTTATTTTTCTGAGGTATCTTTTGATGGCTAAACAGAAAATGCAATTATTTTGGAAAACAAAATTCTCTGTTTCTGTGCAATAGATCACTGCGATATCACTTCGATTTTCCTTTAAACCTCCGCCATTCTGTGACCATAATAGCTAGAGATCTGAAACTTATTATTTGTCGATAAAAATTGTTGGTTCATAGCATCGATCGAACACTTTTTTCAATTTATCAACAGTTCTCTTGATTTTGGACATTGACCTGAAAAGTTTGAACCCCGATATCTCGAGAATAGTAGTATCTACAGTCATCATTCTTTGTTTAATCATTAGATTTTATCAAGAACTATAGCAAACTGAACCTTTTGAATCATTAAAAGTTATACAAAGAAAGTTCTAGCTTGTGTTGTCAGATTTTGTATTCGTA